GTGGTAACACTCAAATGCTCCACTCCCAAAACACAGGCAAGTCTGACATTTTATGTTTCCAGGCACTCATCCATTCCCATATTAGGAAACGAGGCATGTGAAGAACTGCGCCTGGTGAAAAGAGTGGACATTGACTCAATAGAAGTGAAACATCCCACAACTAAAGAGGAGTTGATAGCTCAGCACCCAACTTTCTTTGAGGGTTTAGGTGAGTTTGCTGGAGAATATCACATCCACACTGACCCCAAGGCCACACCTTTCATACATGGCTGTAGGAAAATACCACTGGCAGTAATGGACAGAATGAGAGACACTCTCGATTACTTGTTACAAGCTGATGTTATTGTACAGGTAACTGAGCCTACACCATGGGTTAATAGCCTGGTGATCACAGAAAAAAAAGACAGAAAAAAGTTACGGGTTTACTTGGATCCCAGTGACTTAAACAAAGCTATACTCAGGCAGCACTACTCCATTCCAACGACCGATGAAGTTCTGTGCAAACTAGCTGGTAAGAAACTTTTCACAGTGCTGGATGAAAAAGATGGATATTGGCAAATAAAGCTAGATAAAGAGTCATCCCTACTGTGCACATTTAACACACCATGGGGGAGATACCGCTTTAAACGTCTTCCATTTGAGATCATGTCAGCAAGTGAGGTTTTCCAGCAACGCAACTGTGAGACCTTTGGAGATATCCAAGGGATCCACATCATTGCAGATGACATGATAATTGCTGCATCGTCAGAGAAAGAACACGATAAGATATTACAGAAACTGATAGCCAGAGCAAAGGATGCTAATGTGAAGTTCAACCAAATACAAGATACAGTACAATGTGAGCAGTGTCAGGTACATGGGCCATACTATAACTTCAGAGGGTGTTAAAGCAGAGAACGCTAAGATCAAGGCTATCACAGGCATGCCAACAGCAACTGATAAAACAGGACTACAGTGATTGCTGGGCATGGTAAAATACCTAGCTCAGTACATGCACATACATTCAGTCAATTAAAGTTGAAAACATTTTCTAACAAATCTTAGTTTGTATAACAAGTTAGAAATATACAGTTTCTATTTCTGCATATTCCCCCCTTTATACGGGGCTTTGAAGCACCAGCTTCTGTTTTAAAGAATGAGCTACCAACACTTTTTGTAACTACATAAATTAAACGTTATTGGAAAGCTGTGATGTAGCGTAGGCTGATTTTTTAAGCATATTCAATTATCAAGAATTATTTACCTACGTTTGATTGATTTTGCTAACTTTTAACTTGACTTATGAGGCGAAATAATACCTGACCTGAGTGGCCCTTAGTATATTTTTCTGTGTGCGGCCCTAAGTGAAAATGTTTTTGACACCCCTGATCCAGCGCCCCTGATCTAAATGGAGAGGCTGCAGTGATGAATTACTTCCAGAAGATGGCAGCAACGCAACATAAAAGATCCCAGCTGCCGTTAAACACCACAGAAGAAGAATACAACTTTTTGCAATGTTGTGGTGACGTCAGAACGCACCGCACGCTGCTGACGTGTAGGTCAGGAAGTGGCTGTTGAGTGGAGGTAGCATCTAGCCAGAAACTCTTGATATTCCCCTTCTTTACAAGCCTTTAACATTGACAGACCAATATGAAATCCAACAGTTGGGTGCTAAGTTAGCTGTCTGATAACAAAGGAAGACGAACCGAGCCTATTGCACAGGTAGGGGACTCTATCAACCACAGGCAGGAGCTAATAGCAGCCAGTAGCTTACTGTACAGCTAAACGGTATTTACATCGTATTTGACACATTTAACGGTTGTCATTACGCTTTTTTACGTTATTGTGGAAAACAAATGCTTTTATATTTATAGTGTTACATTCGTATTTACCCTATGGTGTTGACAGTGTTTGTTATGTTATCTGCTGAGCACTACAATTAGCTCATGCATCATAGCTCGATGAGGAAAGCTGCTCAACATAAAGAAAAGAGATACAAAACAAATCAAAATAAGACGTGTCATTTAAATCACGTAACCTTATTCCTTAATATATCTTACATTTGTTTTGCAATGACATTTATTGTTGTTTACTCCCTGATTAACATTAGTGGTCACAGAATGTCATTAGATTATTCTCCCAGTTGATCAGGTCAAGCAGAAGCTAATGCAGTGCACAAACAGTCACATATTTATCTTGGTTATGAGTTTATTCAAAGCATTTCATCTGATTATGAATTATTATAGAAGTATGAACTCTTAATATAAATCAGCCTCAAAAACTCCAGTATGGATCAGGTTTCCGAATGCAGAATATCAGCTGTTCTAGTGTGACTTTTCATAACACATCAGTGGGACCACCCTCAACTAAACAGCTGACTTGTACTCCTCCATTTATAAACCACATATTGTGATATCAATATTGGGGATCACCCATCTGATTCATTTTGATCCCCACAAACTCCAAGTCTTACTACTCGGGTTCAACTCTCATTGCATTATTTTACACTAGACTAGGGCTGTAACTTATTATAAAACAGGCAAAACAAATCAAGCTATCTCAAGGTTCAAGGTTCACGGTTCTTTATTAGTTATACAACCATATCTGCAGAAAGAAGTCCTGTCGATTTAACTGTATACAGTTTGGCTGAAAAGCAAACTCCATGCAGTTTGCTTTTCAGACTGGGACAAGAAAACAGCGGAGAAGTAACGGGGCAGAAACCCTCCTTTTTACGCAGCGGTCCAGACATAGACATCAAATGGCAAAACATATTCAGTTGCCAGTTACCACTATGCCCCAGAGCCCCACATGATGTCTTGAATTCTCATGACTTTCTACAGACAGGCTTAAACCAAGAGATATCAGTAGTATTACAATTATTTAAAAAAACTGCAGCAAAACTCCTAACTGGCAAAGCAAGACCCAGAATCTTTGCTTTTTTAAAATAGTTTTCAAAGTAGTTTTTTAAAACAGCAAATTCATTTGTTGTCGATTGAAGAATTATTCACATTTTTTGAAATTCCAAAAGACACACCTTGTGCATTTTGCACATGGCTTTCTTGGATCTATTGCTCTTGCATTTAGCCTACATGTTGATTTAACACAAACTCGGCTTCATTGATTCCTTCGTTCAGGAACCATCATCTTGTTTCCTCTAGCTAATATTTTATGGATTCATAATGACTTGAAATGTGTATGGAACAGTTCTAAGATAGTGTTGTGTTGTAAACCTCCGTAATAAACCTGAAGCTTGCTGTTCCAGAGGTGAAGCACTCTCTGCCCCAGTAGATGGAGGACATATGATTAACTAACACTCTGTCTTCCTGCAGGTGTGCTTGAATGCAGCAGTTTTATGAAGAAGTGTGAGTGACGTGCACAGCAACAATGGGTAGGAGGAGGGTTCCGGATCTGTACAGAGCCCCCTTTCCCTTATACACCATTAAAGTGGACCCCAAAACAGGGCTGGTGATCACAGCAGGAGGAGGCGGGGCTTCCAAGACGGGCATTAAGAATGCTATGGTAAGTACTGAGGGTCAAGTTTAGGTGGTTCAACTGTATAACAATATGTTGCAGTGGCCCTGAGAGCTCGATGCACTGCAATGCCCGATACATGCACATAGACAAACACAGGGAAATTGACCTTTACACATTATGTATTTGTGCTTTTTTCCAAACGCTTTGCATAAGCAGCCAAATTGCTGAAGCTGTTCTCTTCATTTGCATATTTGCACATGTTTTTCTTAAATTGTATTGATTAGTGTAAAGGGCTTTTTCCTCTTCTCTTGACTATGTCTTTGCACAGTTCATAACGGCCCTTTTTAAACTCCTCTGATAACTCTGCACAGTCTGGTGTGTTTAGGTTTTGGGCGGTTGACTAACTGCTGACAGTTTGCTCCAATGAACAACATCAACAGTTGAGATGTCATTTCAACGATTGACCTTAGGCAAACAAGCCAGGTCTCAGTCACACTGAATTCACTGTCAAATAAAACAACTCCTAATGACTGCTTTCTGTAGCAAAGCTCAACTCAATAAGAGTTAACAAACAGCTTTCTATCAATAATTACAAATGACAAAAATATACAATTAATACACATGGATAAATAATTACTCTCTATATCATTATAACTGTTTTCTTAGTTTGACTGTATATTATCAGGTTTTCATTAAGCAGTCACACACTCAACTTGTGTTGGAAAGTAACCAAGTAGATTTAGTCCTCCTTTACCAGCTGCAAAAATATAAGGATGATCACATTAATCCAGAGATATTCTGCATTCTTTTAGTACATTTGGATTCTAAATACTTTGTGCGTACGTACAATTTTGAATGCAGGATTTGTACTTGTAATAGAGTATTTCTACACTGTAGTATTACTACTTTTACTTCAAGGTGGGGTATGTAATTTATTTCAGATACACGTTTTGTTATATTCCATGGAATGCTCTTAACATCCCGATAGCAATGAATATCTTCAGTGCTTTGACAATAAATCCATAAAAAAATGTAATCTGTGGAAGCCGTAGTACTGTGAAAAGCACGACCAATCATTTTAGCCGGCCCGGCAAAAGTATCTGGATGGCCTACCTGCCTGTCAGCCTTCCATCTGTGCACAAACTTATCTCGTGCCCTCATTGGTCATGTGCACGTTCGTGTGTGTTGGAGGAGGGGCTCTGTAAGGAAGAGGCAGATTTTTTCCAACTGCGTATTTTCAAATTCTAGCGCGCTCGAGCTGGTTTGTCCAAAATTACCTACCCCACCTTGAAGTAAATGTTTTGAGTATTTCTTCAACCACATTGTGGCGGATACAAGCCGCACTGACCAGTTCCCCCGGTGACTGTAAACTAATAACCAAGTAAATAATAAAATAGTAGTATAAGAATAACACTTATATGTACACCTTACAACTATCAAATGAAGCTGAAATTACTCGTTTTTCTTGTAAATATGTATTTTATGCATGTACTGTAACTTGCATAAGTATACAGTACATTTTTAACACACAAGTAACATTTAAGTGTGAACACTGTAACATGTTATTCTGAGTGTGTGTTTAGAAATCTGGATGACATTGCGAGAGTTTGTAGTATTAACTCATGATTTTTCTTCCAGCACTTCCTGGATCTGCAGCTGGTTGGAGAGCAGCATTACAGCGCCAGCCTGCTCCACGCTCACGACACGGACACCCGTGCCACCATGAACCTGGCGGTGGGGGACGGAGTGATCGCTGCGGGGCAGGACGGCAGCTGCAGCCTGATGAGGTTCAGACACAGCTCGCAGAGAGAGGAGGACAGCGCTGAGGCCAAGCAGGATGAGGACTACGGTCAGAAATATAACCCGTATACCATACACATCAAAAAGCATGCTACATAATTTCATGCATTATGTTTGTTCAACTTTTTTATTTGTTGATGGCAGTCACAAATGTGTGCATCTTCATTTACAATACAGCATTTATTTTTAAAGAGGCCCAGTTATGCTTTTTTGGTTTTCCATTTCCTGTAGTGTGTAATATAGGTTTCTGTGCATGTCAATGGTCTGTAAAGGCTAAAGTTCCTGTGTTCCCACCAGAGGGGGTTTCTCAGAACTATGAGTACAGTTATAGTATCTAAGGTGACATTAAATGGGCTAATTAGGTTTCGGCAGTAGCAAAAAGGGACATTCAGTAAGGTGAAGCATATCCAATATAATTACACAACTGCAGGGGCGAAGACAGTCCTAACGTTAAAAGTAAGGCCAAGGTTGTGAGTAAATACATCTGCCTTGTAAATGAACAGATTATCCATTCATACTCCATTGAGACACATGCTGTTTTTCTTCTGTACAAAGAATAATGATAAAATAAAAACTGTTTGAATAAAGTAAGAATTTCCTTGCCACCAAAGCAAAGAGGAAATGTATAAAAGACCTGAAAAACAAAATAAATGCTTTATAGTGTCTGTCGACCTGACTTATTGGATTTAATAAACGGTGCAGCAGGGAATAGCGAGGGGAAGGCCCGGCGACGTGGGGGGAAAGGAGACAGAAGAGGACAGGATGAGGCGGCAGCATCTGGAGACAAGTCGGACATGAAGGACGAGACGTCCCACATCTCTGTGACTCCGCTGGCTGAGGTGCAGTCAGACCTGAACCCCAAGGACCCCCTCCAGAAGGTGGTCCGCTTCAGCCCCGACCTGAGCCTGCTGCTGACGGGGGGCTCCGACGGACACATACGGGTGTGGGAGGTAAACACTGCCCACATTCTGTCACCACTACAGTGTCTTCACTGGGTTTCTTTCTACAGGCGGCGGCCACTAACAGGCAAATATAAACAATGCAATTATACTAAATAAGAATTGGAGCCATTTATAGCTTTTGAACATTATGAGTATTTCTAACAGATATATATTGAGTAACAGTATGATTTATGAATCATAATATATAGAATTGTTAAGATATACAACTGTCATTTACATTTTCACATTAGCTACATGCTATCAACTGTGATACCTGGTATATCTAAGCAAGATGCGTTGTGTTTTTTTTTATTTCTGACATGCACGGAAAGTAAGTTGTGATGAAGAGAATAAAACTTACCCTGCTTTTGTTTTCTATGATCAATATTGAAAGCCCATTTGAAACCATTTTCAATTTATAATTAAAATGTAACCCCCCTTCTGGACATTTGCATTGATGTGTTGAATCTGTCCGTCTGTCCGTCTGAAGTTTCCATCCCTGAAGAAGAAGTATGACTTCAAAGCACATGAGGGGGAGATTGAAGACTTGGATATGAGTCCAGGGAACAAGGTAGGGATGCCAGAAACAAACCATGATCAAATTCATTTTTTTTGTTGCGACACAATTTTTTTTTTCATTTACACTCGTCAGTTCGAAGTAGATCCACGAGGAACTCGGGGGTCGGTGTGTAGCAGCGCAGGCTGCACTGCTGGCTTCCTCCAAGTTTACAGTAAAACAAACTGGTGGTGTGACCAATGGCCATTTACAATTATTAATACTATTACTATTATTAGCATTAGTCTATATTTTGGTTGAAACTATGCCAGGAAAAAAAAAGGAAAAAACATAAATAATAATAAAAAAATATATAAATAAAATCGATTTTTAAAAAATAATTTTCGATTATGGAGACTGTAACGAATATTTGAAAAATCGAATAATCGCTGGCATCCCTAGAACAAGGTGACACTATTTTAATATCCAATAAAGACTGGCACTACCGATGAGCTGAGCCCTACCCAAATAACGACAATAACAGTGTTATTGTTTGTGTGGTGCCGCAGCACCTGGTGACCGTGGGCAGAGACTTCTCCTGCAGCGTGTGGAGCGGCAGTCAGCTGGCCATGGGTCTCAACTGGCTGGAGACCACGCCTCAAATAGCAGAGAAGTCTTATCGATACATGGCATGCAGGTAAAAAATCTATTAAAGAGCATCCCAGCTGTTCTGGGCATATCCATCAGAAGGATTTTACAGTGACTATACATGATTGTGTTCTGATGTATTTCAGGTTTGGAAAGGTAGAAGACCAAAAAGACGCCCTGAGACTTTACACCGTGCAGATCCCCCACAAACGGGAAAGAAAACCCCCTCCCTGCTACCTCACCAAGTGGGACGGAAAGAGCTTCCTGCCCATGCTGACGGCCCCCTGCGGCTCTGAGGTCATCTCCAGTCTGGCAGTCAGGTGACTGATGGGTTTATGGACTCATTGACATGTTCACATGAGCTGAGAGGTGTACAGACACGACTCAGTCACTAGAATTATAGTTCTTATTATTAATAAGTCGCCTGCCACAATTTGTGTTCAATGTCATCTTGGCATTTACTTGTTTGTTATGGCACTTAGCAAAAGGTTAGCATTCTGGTGTGAACACACCAACAAAATCTACTATCTACTCTAAAATGACATTCTTTAAAGAGGCCCTATTATTTTTGGGGTTTCCCCTTTCCTGAAGTATGTTATATTGGTATGTGTTCCCCCCCAGAGGGAGTTTCTCTCCCACACATATTTCTGATCTAGTGTTTACCTGAGTCGGAAAGTGAGGAATGTTATTTCTAGCTGAAGTCTTTTTAATTGGACACTATGGGAAGGATGGTGTAATCTACTATACTTTAAAGCAGTGGTTCTCAAATGGTCAGGCCTCGGGACCCACTTTTTCCTTTGCCAATAAATCGCGACCCGAAATGTCAACGACTCAAATCTATTCAACAAAAAATCGTGCTGTAATATATACGCTTTTCAGCATACATTATTAATTAAAGTGAAGTACAGTGCATATATCCCTTCACATAACTAAAGTATGCTTTTGAAAAAGGTTTAATGAGATGATGGAATCAAAGATGAACTGTATTATAAAAAGGCACACATGCTGAAAACCCAACCCCAGCAGCGGGGTCTGGGGGGATTCTCTCCCAGGAGATTTTTAGAACTACTAACATATAAACTAAGCATTCTGGTACGCTCTCAGAAGAAAATAAATAAATATATTACTACCCGACATATTACTAATATTTGATGCTATTGTATGTTTTTCACTATGTTCTGAAGCTGAACTTGCTGCTCCACACAGAGAGAAGAGTAAAGGGGAGATAGTCTGTGTGACTTACTTTAAATTGTGTGTAAGGGTAGATAGCTCCCATTGTTCTGTGACCTGTCAATCATCAAGCCGGGGGTCATATTTCATTATGTGTTCATTTTTATCTGAAGTTGTACCCATGGATGTATAAAGAATAGTTCTACCACAAAGTACAATCTTCGTTCTGATTGGCCAGAAGACTCGAAACATCTTTAGCAAAGATGTTTTATTGAGAAGATGATCACTACGTGACAGACGTTTTCAAAACCGTTTATGGTCTCCGGTACTTCCAGTCCAACACCTACTGCATGCACAGCGTTAGAAAATCGGGCCTTCAAAATAAAAGATTGCATTTTTTCCAACCAAAAAAAAAAATATATTATTTTTATTTGTAACCTTTCTTTTTCTTCACTCACACATCTGCGACCCACTCGAAACGGGTGTGTCACAACCAACCAGTTGAGAACCACTGCTTTAAAGTGTCATTTTGTTTGGAAAGGTTAATCAGAGTTTTTTAGGTTGAAATCCTCTTTAACTTGTTTGACAGTGACTCCGGAACATTTCTCGGCCTTGGAACTGTAACAGGATCAGTGGCTATCTACATCGCTTTCTCCCTGCAGGTAAACACAGTGCATACACACATCTTAAAGTCAGGTAAACCAAGCCTTGTGTGTGACTGTGTGTGTGTGTGTGTGTGTGTGTGTGTGTGTGTGTGTGTGTGTGTGTGTGTGTGTGTGTGTGTGTGTGTGTGTGTGTGTGTGTGTGTGTAGAAGCTGTATTACGTGCAGGAGTCTCACGGCATTGTGGTGACAGATCTGGCCTTCCTGCCTGACATGCTGAAAGGCAAAGACATCAAAGGGAATAATGAAACGGCCATGCTGAGTGTCGCCGTCGACAGCCGCTGCCAGATACACACCGTCCCCAATCGAAGTGAGTCCTGCATCGACATCCAATGAGCAGCCATGATTCATGACCTCTGACCTACTCACCTTATTGTCTGTTTACCATAACCTCCAGGATCTTTTCCTATCTGGCTGGTGCTGTTCTGCTGCGGCTTCATAGTGGTGGGGGTCGTCCTCCTGCTGCAGTACCTCTTCCCAGGATTTATTTAAGTCATGCGAGTGATGTCACGGATCTGTCAACATCAGCAGCCCCCCCCACCCCCCCACTGTACAGCCTCTCTGCTGACATCATGGCCCTCAGCTCCCTCAGGGTGGTTCCTCTCACCAGGATAGACTGGGGGGGTTACTTTGATCTCTATCAATTATTCTTAATCTTTTCTTGAATCATGTTCAGAGAGTTGGAGGGCTCAGGTTCGTGAATATTTAAAGTGTGGGATCCTTAATCTACATATTTAAAGAACAGTGTACACATTTACAAATGAATGACACATAATGACACATAATGAGTCTGGTTCGGTGTTTTGTACACACTGACACTCTAAATCAGCCTCTCTGAATAAGTGCTTGATAAAGCATTTATAAAGGCATGTTAACTTTGACTAGGATGCCCAATGTTAACTCAATATGACATCACAACAGTGCTTACAGTCCATAGGAAGCAGGGAGATGTGTGATGACATGTTATTACAGCAGAATATAGACCGGCCCATATTTTATGAAGACGTTTATTCAAAAATTTACTGCAAATGTTGCCCAGCTGATGTACAAAAATGTGAATTAATCTTTTAAATGATGCCCAGATTATTGTAACTAATTTGGTGGAATGAAAGAAGAAATAAAATATAAATATGAATAAAAAATGTTGTTCTTTGTGCTACGTGATCCTGACCTTCTGTGAACCGAAAACGGAAAAACAATCTCACCTCCAGCTCCCAGAATGCTCAGTGAGGCCTTCACTTAGTTTATTTTAAACAGGTTTTAACACGATCTAGCTCAAAATGTGTATCATGTTACTATTTCTATGAGAAAGAGAAATTTGAAAATTAAGGGAATGAAAGACATGATAAATGAAGTAGAGGAAGATTGTAGAGGAAGACAAACCTTACAGGACAGAGGGAGAGTTCAGGATATAAAGTTTCAAGCATAATCGTCATGGGGTTTTTCAAATCATGTCCTGAAAGTATCTACACATATTTTTGTATCGATGGTTATTTGCCTTATATTGCTCGGGTTTGAAATACAAGAAATGGGATAAGAAATCAGGATACAAAAACAAAAGTAACTGCATTCTCTGATAGTCACATAAATGCATTATCAGATTTCTGTTACATTTAAAAAAAAAAAGGGAGGGATTACGAGAAGGATTACAATGTAACATTACATTTCAGAATACAGAATGATACAGGTTAGTAATCAGGAAATTTAATCCGGTTTTTTCTGGTGTTAAAAACCAGAGTGAAAACTGAATTATATAAATAATTAAGGTTCATCTTATCTTCACTCACTTCATGTTCCAACAGGGGGCTCCACATGTCCAATCTGCTGCTGAGAGCCACAGGCCCTTTCTCATTTCTCTAGCCTCATCCCAATACCCCTCCTCGGGCCTTTCTCACTTCTCTTATTTTTCATTTCCTCGCTCCTCGGTCTCGGTCTCACCGGAAGTTGATTTGTCTGCGCCATCTTGAGTAGCGTCCCAATGGCCTTATTTTGTCAGAGGACCGAGGAGCGAGGAGGGAGGAGCGATAATAGAGGAGCGATAATGGAGGAACCACCAAACCATCCTCCGATGAAATCCTCAGACACTCGCCCCGCCCCCTTACTGTGTATCGCTCACTGATTGGACGATGCAGTGCATGCACTGATGTGGTGCTTCTTGACATGAGAGCAGTTTCCCAGCGGAGTGAAGAAAATACATGAACCTCACGGGAGTCACTCCTCAGTTTATACCGTGTTTTGTGTCAATTAATGTATCATTTAGTTAAAAATATGTGATATATCTGAACAACAAAGTGGTCAAAAATCATTTTATTCATTTTTTGGAAACATTTTCATGATCGCTTTTTTCGTTTGCTACATATCCAAACAAACAAACAAAGTGTGCAATCCAATGAATGTTAATCTAACTGGGTTTTGATATATAACATATCTCTTTTTCTTCTCTCAATTATTTTATTTATTTTGTGCACTCAATCAATCAATATTAATCAAACTATTGTTCGTTTATACATTTTAAGAATGGCGTTGATGATACAAATGTTTGTGTCAGTAAATGTGTACTA